CTTTCCACTTTTCACTTCTAGTCTGCGAAGGGAAATTTTAGAAGAGTTAATCCTGAATAATGTGCTGAGCTGCCCTGGAAACAAGTATGATAGGTAAAATATGGTTTTGCCCTGGAAAATTTTAATTTATTCGGAGTCTGTTTTCACAGATCTTTCACTTGGTGAGTTTCATCGCCTAATCAAGTGATTGATGGAAACTTGCAGAAGAGTTTGAGTTTTAGAAGCGAAACAGCTCCCTGTGATACATTTTGCAAGGCTGTGTGTTTTAAAACTTGCTGCAGCTTTCCGTTCTGGAGTGCATGTTCAGCAGTGAAATTATAACTGTTTGTCCCTGACATCCTAAACCGTCATACTATCATTTGAACAGCAATTACTGCACAGCAATTTGTTTAGTGAGAGAAGGGCTACATTTTTGATAATGAACAGTTTATCCAGCCAATATTTTCTTGCTATACCCTTTAGAATTCATAATTTTGAGATTACTTAATTTTAATGCATTCTGTTCTCTGCATTAAAAGCCAGCATGAGTCTGTTGTATTTCTGTTTATTTAATCACAGAAAGTTGTTCGTTTGCTGTGCCAAGAAGATAACATGTATGGAGATAGTATGTTGGCTGTCTGAGCACGGAAAGGAATCGAATACTTTTCCCCTTACTCTTTCCTTTCCTGTGGTTTCTCCTAGCCATGTGCATTTCTGTTTTGAGAAGCAGGTTTTGATGTTGCAATTGTTTGATGTGGGCAGCTGTCTGAGGGCAAGAGGAACACCAGCAAAAAGAGCAGTTCAGAGCAGGAGCCTGCAGGCTTGCCTCTGGTGGGGATGCAGAAGTACTTTGCTCTCCCCATATCCAGCACAGATCATTTTGCGTAAGGCAAAATTGACTTGCTCTGGGCATTGCAGAACTGGGGTGGAGCCAAAGCTCTTCTTCCTTGTTCCTCTGCTGGAAGGTGGAGGAAGATCTTGTTGATGGCTGCTCCTTGCCTTGTGCTGGTTCTTCTCATCAGTGCAGGTGTTGACTGTAAGGGCAGCGGGGGAGCTTGTTCCTTCTTCCTCCCAGTGTTAGCCAGAGTGTGGGCTCCTTATATTTGGAGAAGACGGTTATGATAAAATACAACAGGAGTTAAAGCCAAGGTATGGATAAGACTCTGAAGGTCCAAGGCCTCACGTTGCATGTGTAAATGACAAAGTGCTTATAAAATGCTGGTCTTTTTGCATTTGTAAGTAACTTCTCAAACGCAAAGGAATGAAGTCAGGCCTCAATTCAATGGCACTCCTAAATGGCTAGAATCCAGAAAGCTACTAAGAATTTTAGTTTTCATCCTGTATCCACAACCTGTGTGCCTGCCTCTTTCCAGCGTTCTTATTTTCATTAGAAGAAACAGGAGAATTGGTCTAGCGCGGGAGCTTCCATATTCTAATCTGCTAATACATTTGGAAATGACTTACTGTTTCCTCCAGTGCATATCTACATTGTAAATGTTGCAGGGCAGGGACCATGTTTATTTTTGCCCAGGTCACTGAAGCCTTCCTGCAGGAAGCATTACCTCAATACCTTTAAGCATCTGGCTGTAATGATTTCCCTGAGATTGTGCAGTAAATCTGTAGTGGAACAGCAAATTGAACTCCGGTCCCCTGGGCACTATGTTCTATCTCTACCTGTTCCCTCCATCTCAGTTTCTTTTTCTTTTTTAACTTGTGGGGGAAGAGTTTAAAACAGATACCAATGGAATTACACGAACTCCAAGGAATGAAGTGGTTCCCTAAAAGCCACCGGTCTATGGGCAGCAATAATGACCAACTAACCCACCAAAATTAATACTGCACTTACTGTCTCTCAGTTTACTTTTTTATTTCTTGTGTTTGCAAGGAGTATTGGAGAGTCTCTGGAGCAATGCATTGCTAGCAAGACATTCTTAGAGACCACTGGGCTGTATGTTATTCTCAGGTTTATTGGTATTTCAGATGCGAATGAAGACATGGACAAGGCTATTCTCAACTGGTTTTCTATGTCCATCTTTTTCTTCACACTGAGTTTACTTCAGTGGAGAAATTCAGTAATATCATGGATTTTCTTTCAGTTGCCTAACCACATACATGCCATGGCCAATGTTCCTAACATATTGCAAATATTTCCACCTCTTTTTCTAGATTAGTCTGGAGATAGGGATGGTGGATCTGTCTGACAACTGACTTGTCAGCTGACAAGTATTAGAGTTGTTTGTTATAAACTTGATTTGTTTAATTCCTAGTATTTTCTTGAAGTGTTTGCTTTTGAAGGTGGTTTGACATCTGTCTATGCGTGTGATGGGTTTCCAGCTTTTGCATCCAGACATTAGGGCTGAAACAATATTTGAATTGACGTTTCATAGTTTGTTCTTTACATTGCAAACTTTTGTTGACTGAATCTGGTTCAAGTCAGTGAATGCATCTGCCACTTTGCCAACTTCTGATGTTATTTCCTCTGAACATCCCCTTTGGTTTGCACTTTACTGCCAACTGTGTCTTATTTTCCAATTATTGTCTGAGAAGAGTCTGTCTGGTGGCGTTGGTATTGCCAAAATGAGAAGTTACTGGAAAGGATCTACACGAAAATAGTAGATCTGCGAACAGATTTTTGAACTGTACTATAAATGATGAAGGTTTTTAATCTGCAATAATTTTAAAAAATGAAAAGGTACAGTGCGTGCATATACAGAATTATCTGCTGCAATGACTGAGGAGATACACAGTTAGTTTGGGTCCTCCCAGTTTTCTGTAACAAAGTCAATGACAAAATTAGTTTTATTGATCTAAAAATCAAATCAGAGACAGATGAAGAGACCTTCTGAAGTATGCAATCTAGGTGTGTTTTCAGAGCTGAAGTGGGTCTTTACAAATCATTGGAAAGTTAAAGCTAATCAATAGTTTTTTTTAACAGCACTCTGAATTATGGATGTGATTTTTGCCATGTTAAAAAAAATGTTTTGTGAAAGCTTTCCCATTTAAGATAAAACCACTCTGGACAACTTGGTATCGTCTTGGTTGGTGTGATAGGATTCAAACTAATTTTGCACTGAGTGGGCAGAACCAACATGGTCAGCTGTCCGTGGCCTGCAGACTGTTGCGGAGTCTTTTGCACTTTGAGTATGTTCTTGGTCCCTGGCCAGATCCTTACTTGTGGACGCAGTTGGAGGATGAGGGAGCTGGCTGTCCTCTCCAAGGGTTAGTTGTGAAGGAGAAGTGCTTGGAGGCTGTAAAAATGTCAAAAACCAATAAAGAGTTAGAATTATGGCAATCCTTCTACATTATTGCATAACTATGGGAACTCCCTTTCTTCACCCCAGCAGATGAACCTGCCGTTGCAGAAGAATTCTTTCTGCATATGGTTTTCTTATTTTGATAAATATTTCTGCAATGCTTGAGGCTGATGTGCCAAAAATGTCTTCTTCAGGTTGACAGGATGGCAATATTTGGTTGTGGAACTTTAGAGACATACACTCTCTCCCAGTCTCCTCATAACATTCGTGGTCTGTGGGCTAGAATGTGTGCTTAAACACAAGCAGATACAAGAGAAACACAATACAAACACCACATCTGGTGTGGATAATGAGCACATGATTAAATTAGGCTGCAGTGCGGAGTTAGACTTACTGACAGGATCCTGAAAGACTGAGGATCACAGCTTCAGGTTGAATAATCAGTATGATCTGGCACCCACTGAAGCAAACAGAGGAACATCAGTTTCAATAACACAACATGATGTCTTAGTTCTGCTTCATTAGTATAATCCTCTTCCTTTTTTAAAAGTTAAAATATCAGCTGTCCAAAAATTTCACTATATTGTCATTAAAATGGGAAGTTAATAGGAGTGGACATATACAAAGTAAGCTGTTCAGGAGATTTATGGTTATATGTTTCCTTGTGGAACTGTAGGTATTACATGTCTTGGGGTACCAAGCCATAGTCACCTTGCTGGTATAACGGACATAAGTGTTTCTTCTTATGTGATGAAATAGGCAGGGTTTGCTCTACAACATTTCAGTCTTTACTGTATGCTGTAATAACCCTCGCAAACCGTTTGAGAGAAGCCTGGTGGCTGGCTGCTTGCCCAGATGCTATTTCTTCTAGAAATGCTTGGGAAGCCAGCAATGCTTTTTAGACTCATGCCCAGTACTAATAGTAACTGTAGTACTGGGCTGACCTGGGTGGGTTTATGGTGACACATTCTCTTTACTAGCCAGTCATGAATCTTCAGGGATTCACTGGTGCTTTGACTACGTCTGTCAATTGTCCCAAGACTTTGGTATACATTATTTGTATTGTTAGTATTTTCCTCACTGTTTTAAAATCATAATGGAATATTTTTATTTTCTGCAGTCTTTATTTTACAGGGAAATATTCATATAATCTAATTTTAGGCACATCATGTCAACATAAACGTGGGAACCCAGGTTCCAGATTCAGTCAATGGTGTTTCCCGAGAGCAATTCAAACTACCCATGTGAAATGCCCACCTTTCTCTTTCCTGGAGGAATATTCCCCCCTCCATGTTCCCTGCATTCCTGAAGACATTTAAACACCTTGTGAAATTTATCCTTGTTTAGTATAATCCTACCTCACTTTGAGCATGAGCTTGAGCTTTTTGAAGTCAGTAAGTTTTAAGGTTATATACTTAAATACCTTCCTGACGGAGATGCTTTCTTGAAACT